TGAGCTGTCCAAATAGTTCGAAAAAAAATGATAATCATCGGGGAAGCAAAGTTCTCCAGTGGCAGCCTCGTACTGCTAAGCGAAGTATAAGACCCTTGTAGATTTGGTAACACATGGGAATGTCTATGGATGCAGGTGGCTCAGGACAGTGCTTTGTGGCATTCCTTGAAGGAAGCCTATCTTCAGCAATCAACTTGTAAAGCTGTAATGATGATGATGATACATGTGTTGTAAACAGTACTCAAATAATTTTAAAAACATTAACTGTTGTTAGAGATATAGAGGTATCCGGTCCTGATTGTAGGATGGAGCGAATAGTAACTATTGCCCAAATAGTTCGGAGGCAATGTTGGTCATAGGTAATTTGATAACAGTTAAAAATCTTTTAGGATTCTATTTTCACCTTCCCGAGATCTTTGTTAGGATCGAGACAAGTTTAAATCTTATCACTTTAGATGTTATATCCTAACTGGAAGGAAATTCTTTAAAATAAAGGCGTAGTGTAAAATGCTTTTTGATTAACTTCAAATAATTCCTGCATTCAGTTCAACAAGTTATCAAAACAGTCCAAGATTAGCTAACTAACTTGGGATCGAGAAACGTTACTAACATCGACAGATGGCAAACGCAAACTCAATTAAAGTGACCATTCACAAACTCCTAACGCATCACTTGGCATTTTGTAGAGTTTACTCTTAAACGCGATAACCGTCCAAATAAAACGAATTAAGGTGTGCATTTAATTAGATAATATTGTTGTACTGTGGAGATCGTCGACTACAGAATGAACATTATATTTGCAGGTCATCTGCGTAGAAATAGTGATAGCAATCGATATCGACAATAATAGAATTCCTTAAAACTTTGAATATAATTGACGTAAAAAAATCACCTTGCTGCACGCCAGTTATTTTTTAAAATAGAATAAGGGTGACAAATGAGCACACAGTCCACCTGATGATAAGTTGATGCTGTGGCCCATAGATATCCACATTTATCCTCAATTAAAAATCAAAAAGCAGATGCGTTGTCACTCCTGAGGATTAAGATGGAATGCCTCGTTTCCAGTGAAAAGGGTATCCGGTTCTCTATACTCACCATACGAAACAGAGCAGCGTTATCATTTATCATTAATCATCATTCATTTTGATAAATTGTGAAGATTTTTCGATTCTTTTAAAACTCAAATTCTATATTGAGCCCAAATAAATCCTTTAAATCTCGTTTATATGACTGTGTGTGTGAATGACACAATCTTATTGACTCCTGAAAATTTTAATTTTTTAACGTGGTAGAGCCATGCAGCAGCTATATTAATTGTATAGTTGTAATTCAGGATAGATGTAGACGGATATGGGCCGCGGTAACTACTTACCATCAGGTGGACTGTGTGCTCGTTTATCACCCTTATCCTACGAAAAAAAAAATTAAAAACAAACTTTCTTCACATCTCCACGTCAAGTTTTTCGTTTTTTAAACTATCCTACTATTTTTTATAGCATAATGGTGACAAACGAGCACACATCTATCTTCGATTACGAATTAAAATGCAGATGCGTTGTCAGCCGTGAGGACTAAGATGGAATGCCTCGGTTTCAAGTAAAAATGGTCTCGGGTTCTCTACACTCACCATACGAAACACAGCAGCATTAAGCTGCTATTTTACGCTGGTATTCTGTGACAGCGTGGTCCTTCCCCGGTCGAGTCGACCCATTCGTGTTACAACTATACCTGAAATATAGCTGCAGCATGGCTCTACCACGTATAAATATATACGTATAATATATTTGGCTTATATATAATAGAATAGTATTTATATATTATATTTATATATATTTTTCCCGGCTTTGCAAATAATCAAACACCATTTTTATCAATATTTCGTTTTTTTTTAATTTTAGTAGCAGCGGCTCTCCATTAGATGGTGATACGAATTGGTGAGACATGCAGTGTTTGGTAAGATATGTCGATGGATACAGGTGGCTGTGGACCGTGTTTTGTGGTATTCCTTGGAAAGTTTTATGTTCAGCACTGGACTTGCTAAGAGCTGTAATGATGATGATGATGATGATGATCACTTTATAGTAGACTGTTAGAGAATGCCTCAGGCATTAAGTACGTCTATACACTATGCATGTAAATATGTATAAAGTTTAAATAAATAAATGAATATGCATGCTATACTGCAGCTATGTTAGTAGTATATTTGTAGCACGAATGGGTCAGCTCGACCGGGGAACGACCACGATTTCACAGAATACCAGCGTAAAATAGCTGCTTAACGCTGCTGTGTTTCGTATGGTGAGTGTAGAGAACCTGAGACCCTTTTTACTAGAAAAGAGGTATTCCATTTTAGTCCTAACAATAAAATAATTGTCTAACAAATTATATTTCGAGGGCATGATGTAAAACCCGCTAATGCACTGGCATAGAGTAGTGGATTATTTCCATTCCATAAGCTTCTTAAAATGTCTGTTATCCTAGTGTTGACGTAAACGTTACGTTTATTAGTTGCATCATTTCACGTTCACTATACAAGTAAGTATTTGTGTAAACGATTGCGTCGTTGGTCTAGCGATTGCTGACCATGAGCTCCCGGGTTCGACTGTGGGCCGGTTCATAATTGGGTTTTCTTCTCAAGAAATTCTCGGTAGCAGCCCATTGTCAATAAGTTGGCGGAGATTCACCACCATGCCTCGGAAAGCACATAAAGCCGTTGGGACCTGCGCCTCATCGGAATCCGATTGTGCCAGATTACTGTGCCATCGGATTGTGAAAGTAAGGCCCGCCACACACATACGGAATTCCGTTTTGCCAGCAAAATTGCGAACGGAAAACTACCGTACGTGTGCGACGGGTCATAGATTTTATATGGGTTTGCTGCGCTCGGAATTCAGAATCGGAATATCGAAACGGAATTCCGTATGTATGTGGCGGGCCTGATGAAATAGACAGTGCAGCTGTGCTTGCGCATATATTCGGCCACAATAATCTTGTAAGTGCTGATGGTTAGTCTCCGTTTTGATTGGCCGCCGTGACTGAAATTCAGTCCGGAGTACATTATTATTATTATTACTTGTGTAAACAGAGAGGTCTGGGAGTTTTTGGAATCTCAGACCGGAGGTGGTCAGGTATAAAAAAAGTCCAGTTTAACCCTTACAAGACACAGTTTTGCGCGGCCACTGCTAAATGGCATCCCATTATCGTATCTCCTCAATTTCAAAGTATACTCCTTATTGCTTTAGCCTGTGTTATATCAGACTCGGTCCACAGTCACTTGAAAGGAAAGGCCTTCAGCCTCACAAAGCGCAGGTTCGGCTTAATATAGAATACTATTCTTATCTGTGGGCCGGGGCATCCCAGTACTAGCTTCTTCCAGTTGACCGCATTCAACGGAGACCGGCTCGAATTGTCGACGAATAAGTTCTTTCCAATCGGCTTGATCCATTGGCCTTGCGAAGAGATGTTGTATCTAGAGAGATATCCTCTATAAGAGCATCTTCTATGGCATGTACCACAGCTCTTAAGGCTTAGCATTAAGTTGCGGCCCTAAGAACCGCTCAAATCCCGCATCCCCGCATGTTCCGTGCCTACAAATAACTTTTCAATGTCTGAATGTTTTCCCTTGTGCAGTTCATGTATGTAAACTGCCTCCACGATGCAAAAGATAATTCTAGTGTTTTAAAAAATCGCACCCGTATCGTTGAGGCTTTTTACATAAATAGATATATAAACAGACCTACATCCAGACACGGAATAATTAGTTATACGCCATACAAACACTAGTTCAGTGCGAGGTTCGAACCCGCGGCTCGCAGCGCCACAACCAAAAGCTTAGCCACTAGGTACGCTACTGAGCCATCTCTGTTACCGAGCCACATTAACCGCTATTCACCATATTATCATTACAGACGAGTCTACAGCTAAACATTGACCGTCCCCAAGGAATGCCACAAAACACCACCCTGAGCCACCTACATCCATCGACATCCTGCATCTCTTACTAGGTTATCACTCCATATAGTGGGGTCCCGAACTTAGCTTACCGGTACGAGGCTGCCACCTGAAACCTTTAGTTCGGTTGTTTGTTCTTCAAACTATATGGCCTTGTCTTCTTAGATTGTATTTTATATTTTTTACGTGGTAGAGCCATGGTGCAGCTATATTAGTAGTGTAGTTGTAGCACGAATGAGTCGGCTCGACCGGAGAACGACCACGCTCTCACAGAATACCAGCGAAAAATAGCAGCATAACGCTTAATGTTTTGTATGGTGAGTGTAGAGAACCGGAGACCCTTTTTACAGTAAACAAGGCATTCCATTTTAGTCCTCACGGGTTGTCACCGCAACGCATTTGCATTTTGATTCGTAATCGAGGATATATGTAGATGTCTATGGGCTACAGTAACCACTTACCATCAGGTGGACTGTGAGTTCGTTTGTCACCCTTATCTTATATAAAAAAAAAATAGAACGAATACCAATTTACCAATTGTTACAACACCTTTTTTGCCAAGAAGATTGTCTGGGTAGGTACCAACCGGTTATTTGTTTTTGCCGTCATATAGGACTGTGCTGTGAAGTCTATTTTTTATTATTTATATTAATTTAAGTAATAGAACGCAGAAAATTATTATCAATAGTAAAAGTTCTTCCGGGTTGTCCGTAAAGATGGGTGTACCTCAGGGCTCGATTCTTGGCCCTTTCTTATTTTTAGTGTATATTAATGACTTGACGTCCCTTATAGGGGATAATCATGATATAGTATTATTTGCTGATGATACTTCCTAGATTTTTAAACATAAACGTCTACTTTGTGTGAAGCTGTACGCGTCCATGATCGGCAGTAGGCACTTACCATCAGGTAGAATGTAAGTTCGATTGTCACTTCAGTTTTATAAAAAGCTATGACTTCATGAACCGCAGCAATCATAGTTTCACCGAAAGGAAATAAAGAAATCTGGAAAGGGCTTCTAGCGTTTTTAAATAGCAAGCTCTTACCTCATTACCGGTGTAGAAAAAGATCGGTCCATCTCCTCTGTCCCAGTGATCTTCGTTCACAAGATATTTAATATTAAAAGTTTCATTGCGCTGATAACCAAAATGATCCAATGGCACATTAAACAACTTTGTTTCGTATTTGTATTCGGCCACAGCGTTACCAAGTAGTAGCACTAATACGCAGGCGTATATATGGGCGTATTGTAACATTGTCCTCACAGTCACATTGACCATCACTGACGTCCGTTTGCGTCGGCGCGTCGGGTGATAATGAGCAATGCGACGAAGCCGGCAATGTACCAACTCGTTTAAATAATGAGGATAATCGTGCACAAAATTGTTTTAAAACTTTTTTCTCAAACAAGGAATAATTGCCAATATTTTTTTTATAGGATAATGGTGACAAGCGAGCACACAGTCCACCTGATGGTAAATGGCTGCTGTGGCCTATAGACATCTACGTCTATCATCGTTTGCGAATCAAAATACTACTATGGAACTGGACTAAGATGGAATGCCTTTTTTACAGTAAAAAGGGGTCTCCGGTTCTCTACACTCACCATACGAAACACAGCAGCGTTAAGCTGCTATTTTACGATGGTATTCCGTGAGAGCGTGGTCCTTGCCCGGTTGAGCCGTCCCATTCGTGCTACAACTATACAATTAATATAGCTGCAGCATGGCTCAACCATCGTAGAGGTGTTTACATACATAAATTGAACAAGAATAAACAACCAGATTGGTAACAATTATCTGTAGGCCATTCAAACGCGTTGTATAGTGGCGGCGTAAGAATCCACTACTTCATATAACCCCGTGGGTGTAGTCAGAAGTGACAGAGGGAAACAAAACAGGAGATGGTCAGCAGCATCTTCTTGATAACAACTCAGAATCATTAAAAACTGCCGTCGCCAACCCGTTTCCATTTTAATGATATGTACTCGTATATATAGATATTAGTTATTTATTACAACAGACAAACGTGATTGATAACTTTCGCCTGGTTGATATCGACGACGGCGATAGCTTACGGCATGAGATTTGGAAAGAGATTCCCCCATCATTATCATCATTACAGCCCTTTACAATGTCATTGCTGAACAAAAATCTCCTCCACAAACGCCACAAAACAAACCTGAATCACTTGCACTCATCAACTTACTGCATGTCTTACTAGTAAACGAGGGAGAGCTCCTTCTAAATTTCTATTATTCTATTATATCTATACATAAAAATAAATAAAATTTGAGTGTCTGTTCTTAATGTCAAAATAACAGATTTTTACTAATTGTATATGAAAGTATATACATTACTTATAATAAAAACACAATTTTTAAAACTTTGTCTGTCTGTTTGTTGCGGCTAATCTCCGAAACGGCTAAATCGATTTTGACGGGACTTTCACTGGTAGATAGTTCCATGTTATAAGGAGTAACTTAGGATACTTATTTGAAAAAAAAAAGTAATTAGGATTCCGCGCAACAAAATTAAAACCCTAAATTACATGCTTAATTATGTTTAATGTCCATGATCATGTTTAATGTCCATGTCACACCTATGCCGGTAGTTTTTGGGAGCACTAAGCTTGAAGTTGTTGACGAGTATGTTTACCTGGGACAAATAGTCCGACTAGGTAAGTCCAACTTCGACCGAGAGGTCAATCGACGGATTCAACTCGGCTGGGCAGCGTTCAACAATTGCAGAACGAATCCTATAATTTGTAAAAGAAAATATAAAAAGTTACAGCCCTTAAATTGTGGTCCCTCTGTTCACACAGTCTATCAGTTAGATCTCGGAAAGTATCTCAAAATTGAATGTGTTTTATTTTTCTCTGACATTTTTTAATTTTTTACATAGTAAATATTTTTTTTTATATTGTATACAGGCTTATTAGTAAATACTTAATTATTATACTCCCCCCCCATCCCTTTCAAAAAATCGATCTGATTACGAGATTTACTGGCGTGGTCCATCAATCCTCAACACAAGTACATAAACATGTGGCAAGTGGTATTTGACCGCAACCTTGAACTCAAAGACTGAAATATCGTGTAACCGTTTTAATAAATTAAAATAAATTAAATAAAATTTGTATTTGTTCCTTAACACTTGTCTACGCGATGTTACGTCGATCGGTTATCGGAGTACATTTGATTTTGACCCTAGTTCCCGTCCCCCACCAGGATGTGCCCGCGACTCCGGCGCATACTCAGTACACAATTATTATCAAGTATAAGAAATTATTTCGGAATTTATTTACTTTTAATCACAAAAACTGAAATCACGAAAATTACTCCCACTTCCATAAAATAAATATAACATTATTAAAGATAATTGTCCATTTCGTTTCATTGTCTTTTTTATATAGAAGAGGGAGAGAAACGAGTATGCGGTTAACCTGATGGCAAGTGTCGACCACCGCCTATTAACGAATACAACACCAGGGAAATTGAAAGGCGCGTTGCCGGCTTTTAAAAAAGGAGTAAGCTCGTTTCTTGAAGGTCCCTAAGTCGTATCAATCCGGAAAATTCGCCGGTGGTAAACGATTCCACAAAGAAGTCGCGCGAGGAAAAAACTCCTAGTAAATCGGACAGTAGTGGACTAACAAACATCCCGATGATGTAGATTTGTGAAATGCGTTGATGAAATTTTGTGGCTGGAATTAATCCGAACAATTTCTCTGAACACTCCCTGTGGTAAATACAATAGAAAATGCAATGGGATGCAACATCTTTTCGTCGGTCGTCGACGATTCCGACAAAGGAGTTCTTTTTAGCGGTAAACGCGCAAACTTGTGTCTTCTGGGCGTTGAAATTAACTAGATTTAGTCACCCCAATCCGAGACCTTATCCGGCAAAGACTCAACTTCAGAAACAAGTTTGTTCCGGTACTTGGCGACATTTTCACGAGAAATATACATTCACAGTCGGTGTATCCACCATAAGCATCATCAGTGCACGTTACTGGCTCGTAACATATTATTGATAAGCAGAGGAAACAGCGTAGGTATGGTCCACGTAGCCTTGTGGAACACCAGCATAAATAGGCTAGTAAATTGAGCATGCACCTTCTACTACAACTTTGCCTGTCGATAAAACTGCCGATCCAGTTGCACAAATTCTCGAGAAGCCCATAGGAAGGGAGCTTCGAAAGAAGTGCTTTGTCTCAAACCCAATCAAAGGCCTTCGTTATGTTCAAACTAACGGCCAGGATCTCCCTCTCTGCCTCCGCCAATATTTGAGCCAGGTAAGCCAAAGAAGATCACCAGCTGAGCAACCTCGACGGAAATCGTACTGGCGGTCACTTTTCAGTTGGTGATCGTCAACCTCATGAGCTGGCAGGCCATAATGGTTTTCATTATTTAGGAGAACAAGTTGGATAGGTCTGAGCGGTCCACTTTTTAGTTGTTTTTTAGGGATCTGATGCACTAAAGCTGTCTTCTTTGAGTTCGGGAGCGAGAAAGAGTTTTAGAAAAGACACGTTACGACTGGTACCAACTAGGGAGCATACGTCTTCAGCACAATGGGAGGAACTCCATCAAGCCCACTTGACTTGACGTCTAGGGAGAGTAGTGCTATGCGCACCGTGCGCTATGTAAACCTTATCGTACCGACTATCGACCTGAAAGCGAAATTATACTTCTTTTTAACAGCGCTGGTGAAGCACTCCTATTATAGCACAATGCAATTTTACAGGAGCGACCAAACCAGGCACCATAGATGATAGAATAAAGAGTTCTATTCCCTGAAGTACCACATCATCGACAGAATCACGTTGGGATCATCCGGCGAGAAGCATACCCGCCCCTGTTCTCAAGGGAAGGATGCAAAAAAAGATCGCATCCTGTCCCAATCGGCCAACTTATAGTGCCAAGCACGGCGGCGTCCTGCAGAACGCAACTGCAATCGGAGTGTGAGTGGCACTATAGTCCGGATCTGACAATGGTCCAATGAGCCAAGAGGGGCGTCGACGGAGACTATACTATTTAATGGAGTTTAAATAGAGCCGCAATTTCATTTTTGCCCCGGGGCCCTTGGTCACATAGCCACTGGGGAAAATGTAAAATGGTAAAAGCGTAAAATGGCAGCTTGACACTGCTGTGTTTCGAATGGTGAGTGTAGAGAACCGGAGACCCATTTTACTGGAAAATATTTGACACGTAAAAAAAGATTTGTTTACGTGGTAGAGCCATGCTGTAGCTATATTACTGTTATAGTTGTAGCACGAATGGGTCAGATCGACCGGGGAAGAACCACGCTGTCACAGAGTACCAGCGTAAAATAGGAGCTTAACGCTACTGTGTTTCGTATGGTGAGTGTAGAGAACCGGAGACCCTTTTATACTGGAAACGAGGCATTCTCGAGGCATCTTAGTCCTCACGGGTGACAACGCATCTGCATTTTGATTCGTAGTCGAAGATAGATGTAGATGTCTATGGGCCACAGCAACCACTTACCATGAGGTGTACTGTGTGCTCGTTTGTCACCCTAATTCTATAAAAAAAAAGAAGAGGCATTGCATCTTAGTCCTCACGGGTGACGGCGCATCTGCACTTTGATTCCTTATTGAGGATAAATGTAGATGTCTATGGGTCACAGCAACCACTTACCATCAGGTGGATTGTGTGTTCGTCTGTCACCCTTATTCTATAAAAAAAAGAAGAGGCATTCCATCTTAGTCCTCACGGGTGACGACGCATCTGCATTTTGATTCTTTATTGAGGATAAATGTAGATGTCTATGGGTCACAGCAACCTCTTACCATCAGGTGGGCTGTGTGCTCGTTTGTCACCTTATCCTATATAGAAAAAAACCCAGAAGCTCATTCAAGATCACTTTACGTGGTAGAGCCACCCTGCAGCTATATTAGTAGTATAGTTGTAGCACGAATGGGTTGGCTCGACCGGGGAAGGACCACGCTCTCACAGAATACCAGCGTCAAATAGCAGTTTAATACTGCTGTGTTTCGTATGGTGAGTGTAGAGAACCGGAGACCCTTTTTACTGGAAAAAAGGCATTCCATCTTAGTCCTCACGAGTGACAATGCATCTGCGTTTTGATTCGTAAACGAAGATAAATGTAGATGTCCATGGGCCATAGCAACTACTTACCATCAAGTGGACTGTGTGCTCGTTTGTCACTCGATCATATAAAAAAAAATTCCGCAGTCGCACTACTACAACCATTAATTCTAGCCATTATAGCATATAA